ATTCTCCCACTGCCTCGTGGGTCAGACTTTTGAGTCAGAGTCTAGGGTCAGGGTCCCCGAACAAAATCCTACGTCATCCCACTGCCTTGTGGGTCAGACTTTTGAGTCGAAGGCTCAAGGTGGGGTGCCTCAACCAAACCCCCTTCCTCGGCCTGGGCAACCGGGAAGCATCATTTGCCCGCGCAGTTCAGCGTCCACCGATGTCCCTCCCCAACTCCTTCCCACTGCACCAGCAAACGTCGCTGGGCCATTTGACTGTCAGCCATCTAACCGAAAGGCCTTAGGCTACCCGCTGCCCACAAACATTGAACAAAATAAAACCTTTCTAAATCCACGAGATCCTTTCCACATAGGAGCTTTCAACGTCCGTACTCTATGTCAAATTGGCAGACAGGTAATGCTTGCTGAAACCTTGTACTCCCTTAAAATCGATGTATGCTGTGTCTCCGAAACACGCATACAAGACCCGAGCGTGGTTCTGCATCTGAGAACACCAAGGATGAACTCAGCTCTTTCACACTTCTCCCTCCGTGTGTCCGGTGACCCAGAAGCGATGACTCGTGGAATATATGGCGTGGGAGTTGCACTCAGCCCCAGAGCTGAACGCGCCTTACTGGATTGGATCTCAGTGAACAGTCGTCTCTGCGCCGTCCGGTTATCCAGTTCAATCAAGCTCAATGCCTCGCGGCATAAAAAGCGGTGCCTGTTTGTCGTGTCGGCTTATGCCCCAACGGACTGCAGTTCTGATGCGGAGAAGGATACTTGGAGGGTAGATTCGGAGTCGTTGCTCCGAATACTGGGAAGCGACCTCTACAGCGTGCTGAAACTAATGTGCATGGTCAGTGCAAACTCTCAGCATATGCGCTAACATCAAGTTACTTGCAGACAACCAATCCGAAGTCAGTCAAGGACTTATTTGGATCATCTGGCCGAAAAGTCTCAAACGAAGATTGTCGTTCCATCTGGAGTATGCCACTTGGCGCCGGTCATGTCATTATGCGAGCTCGGTTGTGCGCTCGCTTCCGCTCAGAATTACGCATGCTAAAACGGAGCAGCTCCATTCACCAACTCTGACGACTTTCAGTAGCTCAGAAATATCGAGGACTTAGGACTTCCCACGCGCCGAAGTCATAAGTTTCTATTGCTTTCGACAAAAACATTCCAGCAACTAGTGACCACGGTGCGACGCGCGGCTACTTCAAAAGCTGAATGACCGACAGAATGAGGAATGACGGAGAGCTGCTGGTTTTGACGTTCCGGTAATCGGGAAGACTTTCACTGCAAGTAACAGCCGAACCTCCAATTCAGCTGATTGGACAGACCGGCCAAAAGAAAACAAGTGTCAACGAACACATCAAAAAGCAGTCGAGCTGGCCTCCAGCAAAATTCCTGAAAGAACCCGAGGAGGTTGGATGGAATGTCGGTATCAGCTCATAAGCAAGAGGAATCCAGTACATGGTATCATTCCTCCAACGCCACAAGACGCTCGGCGCAGATGGCTTAAACCATGCACTTGCCAGAGTTGGCAATGCCATGGTAAACAATTCGAGGACCGTACCGTGGAAGATTCGGAAAACCGATTACTAGTGTAATGGACCGCTTCAATCATGATCCCGAATTGTAAAAACGACGCAAAAGCATCATAAAAAGACCGTAGCGGCTTCGTCCTGCCATCCGTATGCGTTATTTTGTGCATGTTATTTCATTATGGAGGGAAACGTGTGATAATCAAGCTGGACTTCACCATGGCCGACAATTATTGATGGTACCTTTGCTTTGAGATAAGTTCCCGGACTACGCCATTCTTCCATATGTGGAGTAATAGTCATTTTTCTTCACCTAAAGACTGCTTTGGACTCTGCCTATCGATCGAGTGTTCCTTCCGAATTTCTATCACTTATGAGGGCACTGCACCTGTGGGTGCACGCAAGTATACAGCAAACTGTCGCCTATGCTCGCCACTTACAATGATATAAGACGAGGATGCCTTACCTTATCATCCCAATTCCACTTTGTTATTGTTAGCAGGGCTCGAGGACCAGGTCGGTGGCGGTTGAAAAAAACAGCCATTCGTAAACCTTGTCCAGGGTTCTAATTCAGCTGCAGCAGTGGGTGTCGACGAGGATTGTTTATTGAAGTATTCGGCCCAATGATCGAGGCGTTCTTCTTTACTCAAGATGGTCACTACATTGTGATCCTTGATAGCATCGTTCGCAGGCGGTTTCCGGGTTCCGATTGCAAGAATCAACTGGAATAACCTCCTGGCATTCCCGACCTCTTTCAATTTCTCAGCTTCACGATCAGCTCGCAAGCTCACTTTCAGTTAATGTTTGATAATAGGTCAGTTTATGTTCGGGACCGGGGGGATATTCTTTCGAGATTTAAGCAGTGCCACTGTTCGGTCTGATATACAGTGCATGAGCGGGCCGGGTAGCACTGTGCCAAAGACAAAACTCCCAGCACTGTGCAAAGAGATGGCGACTTCCTCCCAGTATGAATTCATTTCTGATGGTGGGGCAGTTTGGGGAAACTAGAAAATGATTCCAGGAAATTCGTCTGACATCCGGATCTGCTAGTCTATCAGTTGCCCAGCGATTTGTCCGCACCTTACGTGACCCTGGAAAACGAAGGAAACGACTCCGAACGAGCACGTGGTCGAAATCCACAAATATGTTTCAAAACGATCGACAGTCAGTTACTGATTCGCACCATCGGTAACTGATGACAATGTAATTAATTTGAGTCCGTAGCCGGCACACCGTTGGAGGACACCATGTGGCCAGACGACTTCGGTTACTTCGGAGGTTAGCGCTGCATAAAACAACCTACTGTCAGGCATAGATGAAGCAAGCGTCCATCACTGTCCGTACGTTCCGAATCCAATCCATGTCGACCTCCTAATTAAGTCTCAGATGCACTAAGCCCATTCATTCGTACATTCAGATCTCCGGCAACACAACTATATCTGAGCGTTTAGCTCGCTGCAACAGGGCACCAAAAAACTCGTATTCTATGCTGTCAGAGCTACAGTCGATTGGAGCTCAAGCATAGTGTCATGACTATGCAAAGCATACTTTTCATACGTCACTATTTTTTCGCTCCATATTTTCAGCATGTGTATTATTTTCGTTAGACCATTCTATTCCCCCTTACCGTCTTCCGTCTACCTGGAGCTCCTCGACTCTCGCAACAGACAGACGACAAGTAGACGACGATCAACTTCCGCTTGTGAGACTCCTTCAGAGACGCTGCCATATGAACCACACACAGGCGACTATCAACGGGTTTCTAGTAAAGCAAGGATCCTTCCGCCCAGTGACTTAGGACGACACCAACCTCTGCACATCCTGCCGCAACATCCTCTAGATCGCTAAACTTGTGTAGTCAGAAGTGAGTGGAAAGTGACGGACGGGTTATCTCAACCACTTTGCTTGCATTTCGAATTATTGTTTCTGATAAACAGCACACACCAGGGTCAAGCGAGTCCAGTGTGGGAGCAAGAGAAAATTGTTGTCCTGTCTGATTCCGAGTGCGAACATTACAAACAGCCTGATAGGCTGAGAATCGAAGAGGAAAGACTGGATTCGAGTTGCCCGAAGATGTCAGCGCCGGATGATACATAGATGTTGCTGCCAAAACCTATTCAGGACGAACGGGGTCATCAGTCCAAACTAATGGGCCTGTAAGGATAGCTATTAATTGAAGCTTACAACCCACTACTAAACGCACTGATTCTGTGAATGAAGTGCCGTTTCAATCCCGGTCAGACATTCTAAAAACCAGGGACGACCCTGAAGTGTCGTGTCGCCAAGTTCTCACCTACCTATCTACGCCTGAGCACTTCTGTTTGGGCTTAGGCAACAGATTAGTATCCCAGCCTGTGCTTTCTTCTGGCGGTATAGCGGTAAGCACTGAGGGAGTTACACGCGAACGATTGATTGATTTGTACCTGCAGAAATCGCACTGACTGTCGCACCTATGTGATGGACAATACCGAATCAGCCAGGCTATTAAGTCATCTCCACAAGTAGTCAGAAGGTAGATGTGCAGCTACGTGTAAAGATTTGGTTATCAGGTCATAATCCCTGGAGCGGGCCCGATGGTTTGCACGCTTAATCGTGTATTTACGAGTATGGGTCATCAGGTTACAGTTACGTAGCCATTGATAACCGTAGAATACGTGTTCAGGAGCAGCTAAACGACCGATGATTAAATACTGTTTTTATGGTTTACTCAAGAAGTGGTTAAATAAACGGTTAGATGATGGTTATTTAACCGCTTAATAATCGGCAAACACGGTCATTTGACGGTTACTCGTCGATCATAAAACATACAAACGCGGTTGATAGTTGGTTTTTACCCACCATATAATCACAAAACGGTTATATGACTGCTCTGATGGTGAAGGTAACAACCAACGAAATATGCTAGGTGGTATCAGACGACTACATAACCGCCATATAACCGGGTTTTTTGGACTGCGTGTGCTGCTAGGCTGATTGGACTGTATGATGAACATTTCCCGGGAAATATCTCCTGCATTTGATAACGCCAAAGTGTCGAGTTCTAAGTTACCTATGGGTGAACGCCGACTATAAAAACAATAGATATAGAATTCGATGTTAGTAGGATCACACGACAGGTGAAACACGGTTGCAGTCCCCACGTTCGATCACTAGACGCCGAATCAGGGCCAAGTCGAGCTCTGATTGGTCGGAAGAAATCACCCAAGGTAAGGGTAACAAGTTTGGTGGGTAAGCACTCTATTTGGAAGTTGAAAGGTCCTAGACTTGGATCAGTGTCTGCTCATGTTTGCGTGAGTAGGCCGGATCAAACTGACCGAGCCTTACCGCCTGAGTTGCTGGGTCTGCAAATTAGGGCAATACATGCAACGTCAATAAAGAGATGGGAGCTATTTTACTCTTGAAAGTACGTTGATGCAAACGACCGCGACTTCAGATTGCAGTTTCTGCCAACCGTCATGAACCCCTCGGAGCGAGGTAGGCCTCGTGGCAACACAGGGTCGACCATATGTGGAATTATCGTCGCTTATTTCCCTGGCGGAAAAATAAAGAGGTGGCAGTCTGCTCCACACCCAATTCTTAAGCTCTAAGTTGGATTGGGTCAGTTGTGCAAAGACGGGCGGCAAATTCCACCGACAGATCAGCCTTTCAGGTGAACGACAGACCCTGACCGACAAGAACAAAAGCGACCCATGAAACTTGGGCAATAGCCTCGATCCTGTGTATCAATCCGTGAATTCGTGAAGCAAGCGTTGACCTTGACGTCGAAGACTGCTTTGAGAGTGCCACAACCAGGGAAAAATTGAAACTGGCAGCCTCCAGCTCCACTCCGTCAAAAGCGAGTTGTCTGATTGTGGACTCAGTCGCCATTAAATGACCCCATTGGCCAAAGTCATAGACCCAATAAAAGTGTACCGGAAAATCCTACGTTCATCGCCGAAGATCGGGGAGTCCACACGAACACAAAGCGAAAGAGCAGTCGTCAAATAAGTCGCATATAATTCACCGAATCAAAAAGCTGCTTGCTAGGTTTGAATTGCAGTCCTTTGTAAAAGCGGGTGCCACCAAAAATAACACTGCTTCGTGGTGCCATAAAAAACACAAGGAGCTCTGCAGGACAGAAATAAACTGCGCCAGAAAGCACAAGCACAAACCACGAACCTCAAACAAAATTAATGCAGATGCCAAGGAGTGAAATATGCACAAGTTGCAACAGCTATCGAAATTTCCGCCCGTGATTGGAAAATTAGTACTTTCAAAGTCACAGGGTCCGCACAAACCGACTACAAGGGGGGCAAAATCCCCTGCAAGCGAATATGGAACAGACAAGTATGTCACATACGCACCTTTGTCCCAACCCCACTGTGTACTTCTTGAGTCTGCATACCTCTCTGCTAGCACTTCACTCGGCTCCCAGCTTAGGACTCAGTAAAGATTTTGTCGAAGTGCTTGGCCACAACCTGTCCCGGTCTTCTTAAAAACTTCGTCATATTCAATGGTCGGCTTGCCTTGAACGACCAATTCATAGTCGCACTTATGGGGGCCTGCCTCACACCATGCGTCTCGTGCGGATATTTTGATAGACCCTATTTTCCGAACTGAGCGGAAACGCGGGAGGACAATTTGGGTCGCTCCGTGCTTACATGCTGCCCTGCCAACCCCGATCATCCTCTCGGTCATCACTCCTGATCCCCTTTGTAGCTTAACGTGGATTCAAATCAAGCTGCATAGATACCTCCGCAAGAGTGAACACAGTTGGTCAGCAGGGGGCACGTACTTAACATGGCATCACGCCGGCCAGATTTGGATTTGGTTATCACTAACGCAAGATACCTGACTGATCGCTAGTCAAGTTGGGCCCTTCTGCGGCATAGTGACCACCATGTGCCGATCATCGACTTCACTAGCTACTGGGCTAGGAACCCAAAACCTCCATCGTGGATTTAAAGCTTCTGCCACCTTTTCAGAAATACGCATCTTGTCCAACAAACTTCAACTGGAATCAGCTTCAGTGGAAGAGACATAAGTTGTTATTCTCCTGAAAATTGACGAGGATGACTCCTGATCGTCTCAAGGGAACGAGCGTGCAGTCGAACTGACCAAAATAAACCCAAAATGGCTTGGCGCGCTCCTGCTGATTTTTTCTCCCCTCTTGCTCTCTAAGTTTATTTCCATCAGAGAGTTTTCTTTTTTTAAGCTGGTTCGTACTATGTGCACGCAAATGCTATTTATTGGACCTTTTGACGGACCTGACGGATCGATGCATTGGATCGATGCTTTTGGAAAAAGACCGTTCCACGCGCTAA